ATGAAAGCACGAATGATTCCACCTAACATTTAAAAGGTCACCAAAGGCAGCAAAGATTAAAAACAAAAAACTGAGGGAAGCCAGGATGTCACGTGGCAGTCACTCAGCTGGCCGCTCTGCAGAAAAGACTTTGCATGAGTTTTCTCGGGTCGCCATTGTGCTGTAACAGAGTATCACCAAATGAATGGCTCTAACAGCAGAAACGTACATGGGTCTCACAGTCCTGGAGTCCAGAATCCTGCGATGACAGAGGCAGCAAGTTGCTTCCTCTGACGCCCTCCCCTCAGCTTGCAGGCGGTCTTCCCTCTGTGGGTGTCTGTGTCCTAGTCTCCTCTTCATGGATGGATGCCAGTCAGCGAGTTAGGGCCCACCCCAGTGAGTTAATTTAACTTTAATCAATGCAGTCCCATTCTGATGTACTGGGGATTAGAATTCCAATATATGACTTTTGAGACCCGGGTCAGCCCCAGACAGACTTCATCCAGGGAGGCAGTCTACCTGGCAATGGGTGGAGCAGCCTTACCGGAAAGACTCTTCATGTCTTTAATGTTTGACAGCTCTTACTGGCTTTGACCTCACATAGGCTAGCCCTCTGACCTTATGCAGCCTGCCACTTGGAAGAAAAAGATTGCATTTATGGAATAGCCCCTCTGTTTCTCTACCTGAGGTACAAAAATCTGATCAGGATTTATAGCCCCACCAGTCCAACTGTCCTGTATAAAGGGGCCACCTTGTGGAGAAATAGGTAGAAAAAATGATTCCAAAAGCTCTAGTAGCAGGGTGAAAACTAAAAGCCAGTGCTGAGTACGCACAAGAGCTAACGCAGCTGGCTTCCGAGGGCATGCTGCGGAAGGGCGCCACCTGTGTGGTTTAGATTCCAGGGTGTCCTCGGAGAGTGTGCCCAAAGTTGACCTGGACTCCGGGGTCTCCCCAGAGAGTCAGCAAGTCAGGAGGCAGGAAGACTCCCCGCCGCCCGTCAGACGTCGAAGAGAAACCTTCCAAACCACAGCCCCTGAAGAGGGGTGGCTGCCCCTCCTGGCCCCCCTGGAGCTTGTCACACGGCTCTGGCTGGCGTTTGCTGCCCTCAGTGACAAGTGGCCCTGGCTTCTACGGCATGTGAGGCAACTTCTGTTATTTCCACAGACATGCACCTTAGATGTTTAATTAAGCCATCGTACTATCTATCGTCTGTTTTAATTTTAAGAGGTACTCAACGTGAATAAGACTATTTCTCCATTCTGGATTCACCAGTTATACATATAAAATCAGTTTGTAATTATTTCTCATTAATTATTTCACAGACAAGTGGGTTTTTTTTCAAATCCATCGTTGTGCATTACATATTATAAAGATGAAAAAGAATGATAAGATGAGACACTACCTACATGGTGATATTTATTCTATCCGTGTATCTATCCACCTGCCCACCTATCATCTGCCATCTATGCATCTGTCTTTATACTGTACTACCCATCACTCTGTATAATTTAAATGCTTCTTTTTACTCTGTGCTTGAACTCTACTGTTACTCACAGGAAAAGTTACTTCTTGTAATTTTTTGACAAAATGATTATTCATAAGTGCTCATTGTTCCCATCTTTTTTTATACT